CCAAGTACCCCACTCCTAAAAAAACACTTAATGTAAAACTTACTTTCAATTTCCCCTCAGCCTGATCAGCCCGAGGATCTGCTGAGGGGAGGACATGGGTGGCACAGAAAGGGGCCACCATTAGATGCATGTTAACAGCATGCTGTTTGTGCTGATGACAGGTGTTCTATATGCATAGAGCTGACATTATACAGCCTGGAACCCTTGTTCCAGGCTGGCTAATGACTCCCCAATGATTCTGCCAGAAGTAGAATTACACCTCTGGCTGCATAAGCATTAAACTCTGTATGTGTAATGTTTCATAGTGAAATACTATAAATGTGTTTGTATATAATGGATTTATAAATTCCTATTCAGCATTTAAATGGCATAATAACAGCATGCTAAAAGATTTTAACTACAGCTACGACATTGCGACATTTATTTAGTATTATCTTCTGTATCATCTATGGTGATCAAAAACTCATTCTGGCTTCTCACCAACAGAGGGCATTGCAACACTTCAGGATAATAATGGTTTCTGCCTTGCTTTACAACATATTTGGATTTTTAAAGCAAACTACACTATCTTCACCTTTATTTTCTTAGTTCAAAAAAATATAATTTTAATTATAGAACTGTTATCAGTAATTTGTGCAAATAGTAATCTAGTTTTCATGCTTTAAAATACATCTTTTTATGCTTTGATCCAAAAAAAAGCAAAGAAAACATTTTGAAGTGTTGGCCATGTATGCAACAAAATAGGAGAAAAAAAAAATCATTTTTCACTCCATAATGGCAATCAGATTCCACCCCCCCCCCCAGATTAACAGCCCGTTCACATACATATTAATTATATCCGTGAATGTTTACAGTCCTCAGTCATGTACGTCCATATTCAGTGTTTTTTTTTTTTTTGTTTGTTTGGAATGAGTACACTACCTTAAATCCGACTTATCTCTGTACTAGACGTATGGAGTCAAAATGTAGATGTTTTGGACAATAAGGGCCTTAAAACAAACAAAAAAAATATCTACAGAATCTGACAAGTCAACCTATTTGCAAAGAAAACTCCACATCGTTATTGTTCTTACTGTAAAGAACCCTTCTGCTGTAAGCCAAAACACCTTCCTATCATTCTTAATGGGGACTCTTGTCTGTTCCTTACAATTAACATGTTAGCGCCTAACCCTGTATATATTTGTATAGTGCTATCATATTTTTTCTGTGGTGCCTTTTTATAAACAAAATAAATCCAGCTTGTCTAGCCTTTTTTTCATAACTAATGTTTTCAATTTCCCTTATTAATTTTGTAGCTCACCTCTTCACATTTTCTAGTTCTGCAATATCTGTCTTCAAAATTGTGCCGCCCATTCTTACCATCGAAGCAAAATTATATTTTGATCATGTGACTCAATACCCCTTTTTATACATGAATACATGACAGCACCTTACTAGCTTTTCTAATGGTAAACCGGCATTGCACAGTTGCCAAGTTTGTTGTCCATAATTATTCTCAAGTCCTTTTAATTTATTGTTATCCCTAACTCAACAGCACCTAATGTATAAGTTGTTTGTCGGTTCAATCTTCCAAACTGCATGACTTTGCACTTATCTGTTTTATTATTTTTAAAGTGCCAATAGATTTTACAGTGCTTTTCAGTAGGCGCTCTAACAAATAAGTAGAGTAAAGGTAGTAAATGTTTAGACAAACCAACATTCCATTAAAATTGGCTAATCAGTGTACCGATATATATAATGCATGTGTTTGAAGTGCAGTTATAGGATGCCTTTTTACACCATGTTATTCTCACATCAAGTGACAAAAAATGATAAAAAGTAACCAATAGAGTGGGAAAGGAGTAAGAGGGCAAAATAATAATAATAATAATTATATATTCTATAATGATATAATATATACATATATAAAGACCTACCAATTAATCCGAGAAAAAAGTGCTGAATGTAGACCAAATAGCATTTAATGTGCTTCATTGATTTCTCTTTACTGTAATACAGATGTATTGAATTAATATAATGATACATTTTCATGTTATAAACATGGTACATTTGCCTGTTTTTGCATGATTGTAAACTGGTTGTGAAATTCACTGTGGCATCAGTTCGCTCCAGTGGCCTGTGCAGACCAAGATCTTCAGTGCATTACACCACTTATTCCTAGTCCATTCTTCAAGGCACACCGATGATCCAGGTGTTTGTTAAAATCCGCATAGGAACAGAATTAGAAAATTCTGGTGTGCTATTGTGTGTTGAGTAGTATGCGACTGTAAAATATATCCAAAATGTTGAATAAAATTTCATGTAGAATTCAGATTATGCTCTCGTTACTTGATATGTATACATGTTTGGGGCAAGATCCTGAACAGGTATAATGTTCTTTTTACTGTTGAAATTATTTACAAGTCCCATTCAAATGTCATTGATAAATACAATTATGTATGATATATATATATATATATATATATATATATATAATAAAAATATAATTTCTTATAATTATTATATTATCTTTTTGTATGACCAATATAAAAATATAATTACAGTTTATCAACTTTCCCTTTTATATGCACTAGGGTCTGGTTTATGCAACTGCTCCATTGCTTTATATTATAAGCAAATAGTATAATTTGAAAAGTCCATTAACTTTCCAAGGAAAACGACTTATTTTTCTTTTTTTCACCTATACTGTGGGGGTGTTTAAATTTTAAAGTGACAAGCAATAAATATATTTTTTCTTTTTTATTTTTAACCAGAGCCCACTATCCTATCTTCAGGCTATTATATTTTTTTGAACATAGCCTGATGGAGAATTTTCTGCAAGAGGCAGGGGCTATGGCATTACAAGCTCAAACAATCCAATTTACAGAGGAGGAAGCCAAGGACATCTTGTGGGATGTAACAACTGCTGAATTACCTAATACCACCACAGTGAAGGATGTATATTTTCAATTGTTAAAATTAAAAAAGAAGGAAATTGATTTAGACCTACATGGGTTATTTCTCTCGGATTATCATTGTGCTAAACAGATTCCGAGAGGGTTTAGAGTGAATAACATCCCCACTATAGGTCATCTGAAAGCAAATGTATGTAAAGATTGGACAGCCGTTTTAAATAAATGTTCCCTAGACCTCATGTTAGTCATCATTAAAGATGTAAAGGATGACTTGCAGAATATTAGTAAGAAAATACTTGAGCTAGAAAGTCAGCAAGCAGTTCTCTTGAGCTCACAGGAGGGTATATCCCTGAAGTTGAAATTGGCCGAAGAAATCCTGAAGTATAAGAACCAATTAATAAAATTCAAAAGACAAAAACAAGAAAGAGTCCAACATGACTATAAGGAACACCAGGTGTATAAGTGGCTCTCTGGCGATAGACGCCCCAGACCAAGACGAATCAGAAAATGGATTATCAAGCCCAATATCAACACTATCGATATCACATCGGGCGAATCAGGCTCGGAACATGAAAATCTTCAAACCCAAAGATCTGGCCATTTTTTAGCATTAGAGAACCCACAAGAACTACGGGGCATGGTCACAAGGAGCAAAAACAGAAACGCAAATGAGGGAACACCAGGAGAGGCCAAAAAGGGTACCCACATTGGTCAAGGAGGGAAACCCCCAATACGACCTTAATACTGGTATTCAATCTTTCAGATAGACCATTAACAAACCCGGAAATGGACATCTTAAGCAAAGGACTTTCCTTTATCCCTACCACTCAACCAAATAAATTCCAATGGCAAGTGGAAATGTTTAAGTTTGGAAGGACACTTCGGCTTAAAGATTTTTTTGAAAAAGGCAATAGGAGACAAGATACATTAAACCAAATCTTAAAGGACATTTAAAGGTATAGCAGCATTCTCTTTGTATTCTTGCACATTTAAAGGGATATCCCGTTTATTTGAGATCTCCACTCATAGCACTTTTACTCACATTTTTGCACATTTATAGGGATACTTTGTCCATTTCAGATTTAAAGGCATAGTACCATATATATATATTTTTATATTTATATATTTCTTTTTTTTTTTTTTTTTTTTTTTTTTTTTTTTTTTTTTTTTTTTTTTTTTATATTTATCTCTATGTATTAGTATTTTAGCCATTAGTCACCTAGCCAGCTCCTGGTATTCCCACTCTTCTAGAGAGTTCTTTTCCCACATTAAACCAAATGCCTAGGTTTAAAATTAAGAGTACTTTTGATCCTCCATCAAGTCACCCTGCTATTAGAACCTTCCTTACGTCCCTGAAGACAAATACTGACAGTATTCTTAAAGAACATAGAATTAGACATAGCAATATATCTAAAGCACAACATAAGCTCATTCAAGGTATATCCAATGATCCATCCATTGTATTGAGACCAGCGGACAAGGGAGGTGGTATTGTGCTCCTTAACTATAAGGACTATGCATCTGAAATCAACAGATAACTTGCAGATCAGAATACATACACCCTTCTGAACCATGATCCAGCCATGGAAGTTATGCACAAGATCGAAGATACTCTCATTACAGGATTACGAGCAGGATATATGAAACTGGATTTATTTAACTTTTTGAAGAAAAGTAATCCCAGAACGTCAATTCTATATACGTTGCCTAAAATACACAAAAGTTTTTCAGTCTCCGCCTGGACGCCCGATAGTTTCTGCCATTGATGGGGTTTTAGAACCCATTGCAAAGTATCTAGATTTTTTATTTAAAGAACCAGTTGAGAAATTACCAACGTGCATAAAGGACACACAGGATTTGATTGGCAGGCTGAAGAAAACCAACCAGATCTCTACAAACTTGGTTTTAATTACACTAGATGTACAAAGCCTCTACACTACCATTCCTCATGAAGAGGGCATAGAGGCAATGAGACAAATATTATCTGAGTCACCTTATTATAAGGGCCTGTCTATAGAATTCATTATGGAATTACTTATGCTCACTTTACAACTCAACTATTTTAGATTTGAGACCCGGTGGTATATGCAACGATCAGGATCATCGATGGGCGCTGCAATGGCGCCCATGTATGCAAATGCATATATTCATATATTTGAGAAACAACATATTTTACATCCATATACAGAACAGATTGTACAATATGTACGCTTTATCGATGATATTTTGATCCTCTGGAAGGGCTCTGTAATGGAGGCTGAACAATTTGTACAGGACATTAACAGCCTATCAAGTCCAATTAAAGTTACAGCCAATATCAACGAAACAATTGTTCAATATCTGGATTTGGAGATTTTCATCAAGGATGATAAAATTGAGTATCAACTTTATTCGAAACCCACGGACAGAAACACCATACTCCATTTTATGAGTGCACATCAGGAACATAGTAAGAAATCCTTACCGTATACTCAGTTCTTACGAGTATTTTGAAATAATTCCCTTGATGAACATATTGAAAACCAAGTGAGAATCATGTATAACAAGTTCCTTATGAGGGGATATAATCGGCGTATACTTGATGCAGCTTTACAGAAAGCACGACTATCAATGGAGGAAACTCCTAGTACACAGCACCAACCAAAGATACCGAGACTGACTTTTCCCATGAAGTTTAACTCGGCTAGCACTAAATTGTCAAAAGCTGTGAAAGCAAATTGGAACATCCTTACGGGAGATCCAACTCTGCCAACAATATGTTCCCAAAATCCGATGATATGCTATAAAAGGGAGAGAAATTTGCGAGACTTGTTAGTCCGCACTGACCCGGAACAGAGTTATCTGCGGGATCAAAGTAAATTCCTCAGCCTTGGATGTTTTCGGTGGCTTGGGTGCGTGACATGTGGGCATCTCATCCCTACTAAGTCCTTTGTTCACCCACACACTCAGAAGAAATATCTTATCAGACATCACATTTCTTGCAAAACTGATCATGTTATCTACAAACTCTCATGTCCGTGTGGATTAAACTATATTGGGAAGAGGGACACACAGTTGTGTGAGAGAATAAGGGGACATCACTCTAGTATTCGTACGGCGGTTAGAGATAGCAACACAGATAAACCAGTGGCACGTCACTTTCTTGAGCAGAAACATCCACTAACATCACTCAAGTGTATTGCAATTGACCATGTTCCTATTTCTAGACGAGGAGGAGACCGTTCTTCTGTTTTATTGCAAAGAGAGACATTTTGGATTCGAGAACTTAATACCACCCATGGGCCTCAATGAAAAATTAACATTCACATCTTTTATTTAATTTTTTGGATAGTTAGCTCTATTTATCGTATATATTTTTTCATTTGTATATATGACAGTAGTGTGCACTCCCTGTGGAACCTTTATGGACCATAAGTTAGATATCTAAATTAAAGCTATATGGATTTAGTCATAATTGGTAGAGTAAAGGGATCCATGTTTTAGTGATTACACTATCTAGAACCCTACTCCATAAATAGGTTTGAAAGTAATATAAATATGCCATTTGGAATTTGATTAATGAATATGGGAGTAGCACTTATATGTAGCAGATATATACAAATTGTATTTTTGTTAATAGTTATTGTATATAATGTCACACTGCAACCCAAGAATAGCAATATATCCCCCTATTGATGTTGCATTTATCGTAATTATATTGTACATAATTCATACACCTTGCGCATGAAGCACTTTACGTGTCTCCATAGTATCTCCATATATCTATACACTATTTGTATCTATGTATTTTCCACACATACAGTGGCACTGGCACTTTATTATTTTAATGGTACTTAACACTCACCCTTATTAGATTTAAGCACTGGCACTCTATCATATAGATCATGGTGTGATCTGTCTTTACAAATAAGTAGTTATGGTAGACCGTTAGATGTAAGGCACCTTAAGTGCAGACCAACATCGATATTTGAAGGTATCCACTTCCAGGTTCACGTCTTATTGTAACCCCCATATACACCTATTTATTAATTTTGATATCAATTGTTCGACATTGGTCGAACTTTATTAACACTTTAGTTTGTTTATTCGTTTTGGAACAGGGGACACGCTCATAGAAATCACAGCTACGTGATTTGTGTACATGTTACCCTCTGACATCACCATAACACAAGACTATATATGACTATATTACACCATAACACAAGACTAATTAGTATACCTATTTACTTTTTGCTTTGATTTCTTAATGTTCCAGATGTGCTTTATTTTTGATGTTATTGTTCCAATATGTAATTCCAGTTCTGACTAAATATACATTATAGCAGATGGAGCATTTTACATTTGGTAGCATTGGAGTAATTATTTTCTAGTAATTTAGACTACTTACCTAACCAAAAACTGGAGGATATCATTTACTGAATATAACCTTGTGGATTTCCACTGGAAAGTGTATTGAGGGCTCCAAAGCAAAATCTTTTCACGAAATGCTGCTTCTGCAGGCAAATACACAACATTTTTACAGCCCGACTCACTACAGGTTTAATAGAGCAGAAAAACTAAAAGCATTCATGGTCCTTTAAGAGCTCTTATCCTTCACAAAGGAATGTAATAACAGTAATAGAAAAGTTTTACGGCAACACGTTTTTATCTCTACTGTATATATGTTTTTGTAATATATACAATTGTAATATATACAATATGTAATTTTGAAGGTTGTGTTGTGCAATGCATATTATTAATGGAAAACCTTCACAAAATATTTTAATTTATTTTCTTGAGCATATTTGTCTTCATAACACATTGTTGTTAGCAGAAGCTTTTTATTATGTTCATCAATATTAAAATTATCCTAACAGGATGCAAACACAACATAAACAAAAAAAGTATTGTGCATGACATTGTCAGAGATATTGATTTATGTATATGATGCACATCACACAGGTAACAATACATTTCATGGTCAGTAACAAGGACAATGACACAATATAGCAAGACAGAACTCCCATGTAGGATTAGGGCAGGATTTATCAACTTTGGCAGAATGCTTTTACAACCATAATGCTGTGAAAACAAGTAAGATGTAGTCCCCAGCAACTGGTGTTCCGAAGGTTGCCTCTTGCTGGTGTAGAATAGAGCATTGTGTATGAGTTAGTCCCGTTTTAACACTACAAATTGGACAATGTGATATAATACTATGTATTAAAACTCAAATTCACAGTGAGATGTTATAGTGTGATGCTCTGTGGGTTCATAATTCTTAGTGCAGATACACATACCAGTGTGAATAAATTACCATTCCTGGGCATTATTATTTTATCTTACTCATATTTTAATTTTGTGATGAGAAAAAAAAATGTGTTTCAATTATGGTTCCCACAAAAACAGAAGACAAATAGAAGAGAGGGCTCCCTTGACAACCACTGGAAGGGAGCACCATGTTACATAACCAACATGTGAAGAACTGAACAAATGTCAGATTAAAATACAGAAGCAGAAAAACTAGATTTTTTCTGAAAAATAACAATAAATAAAAAATAAAAACACATTAAACAATCCACAGAACAAACAATGTACTATACAATACTGTATAACATATATGTTGTGTCATAAAATTGTCATTGTTATATGGGAGAGAAATTGGTTAAACTACAAAAAGCTCATATAAAACATTTAAATTATTGATGTGAAGCAGGATCATGGGTTTACAATAAATGTCTGGGGATTCTGAAAGTAAAGCAGTTTGATGCTGGAAACACAGATCACATTGAAACGTGTAAGCTTGGTAACGTTAGTAAACTATGTTATAGTACAGTGATACATTTTCATGTTTATTAAGGTGTCATATCATATCATATGATATTAACATACATCCCACAGACCGGTGATACTATTGAGTGCATTTTATACAGTTTGCTTGTGACCATCATTTTGATGTCATTTTCAAAAGTAATACTTACTCTGAGAAGAATGGGCTCTCAAATAGTAAATAAATACAATTAAATAAATAAAAACGTACAGCTGAATGTATCACTAGTAGTGATTTATGAAAAAAAACAACACTTGTTTGTTAATGTAATAATTATTTCTATGTATTTAAATATAATCATTTTTTTTTGAATTATAGATATGTTGAGGTTTTCATAACTGACAGAAAAATAAGAAGTGATACAAAAAGAAAGAGCTAATGTAGAAAAAAACCCAGAACATAATGAAATACTGGTAATAACAGAATCAATAGAGTCAGAGTAAGGATTGATATATGGAAAGCATTTGTGCTGTAGAAGGAATGATATTATCATGACAAGTCCACCCCAGGGACAAAGACTCATCTGTCAACAATATTACAGCTCAAACATCAAGAAAATAAGATATAAGGGTTAACTTAGAAGCATAAGGTCCTTAAAAATAAATTTAAAATACGTTAATATAAAGTTGTAAGTGGTTTATTTGTCTTGACTGTTCATTTGCACAAATAAGCTATTTTCCCATGGTAAAGCCAACATACATTTCAATCAGAGAGCTTGAGAATGCCACAGACACATGAATGTATCAGATAACTATGTAACGTCTACTCCTGATTGGTGAACGATATATATTTTAAATATGTTATATTATCTTAGAAATATGTGATCAATTTTACCATTAAGAGAAATTCCCCAGATTCAACAATCTACAGTTTCATTTCACTGATCCTCTCAGTCACATGCAATGAATGTATGATCTCTGAGTTGTAAAAAAGAGATTTCCGCTATATGTTACATTTAATTTATAGCTTTAATTTTTATTAAAGCTTTAATGTCAGAGTGTTCCTTACTTAGCTTACATGTCTTACCTTCAAAAGAAAAGAAAAACAGTGGTAAACTTACTGATAATCTAGTAGAGGGATCTCACTCTTGGTCTTCCCTTCCCAGTTTTTTTCCAAAATATTTTGGGATTATTACCCTTTTCTTTAGAAAAATAATTTTAGTGTTTGTAAACTACTGCAAATGTTTTTTTCCCCACATAAAAATTGTTGGGGCACTGTCTCAAGTGCCCCTATGGATAAACCTGCTAAAAATAATCTTGATTAACTACTATATGTTCATACCTGAAAGTGTAAATGAGGGTTATGTGTATATTTTTATCATGTATTTCTTTCTCCTGAAGACCCTTAAAAACTTTTATACTCTGAATTGGGAAAGGGAGATTCAGTAATGCTTTCCTATTGAGAACTAGTTAGATGCAATAAAATATAGTTCTACTTTTTATCTTTGTACCAATGACTATTCAAAAAAGATGTTCTTACTTGGTTACTTCCTCCTTCGCTCATATTCATACTTACAGTAAAGTTTTAGGATGTTCGGACGCAGGGGTCTTTGTTATATATTTAGGGCAATAAATCTAGTGCAATAGGTTTTTGTTTTTTAATCGTTTTATTCATATTGGTAATTGCAGAACAAATTGATACACTTAATTGATATTTAACTATATTCCCCATACCTTTATTACTGTCA